TTTCCAAAAAATTAGTGAAGAGTTACGAACACAGCGTCAACCGGAAGATGGCAAATTATATCGGAAATGATAACGTTTAGAGTAGACAGAAGAAATGAACTGATAACAAATCATAAAGTAGAAGCACACCAGGTTCACACGACCTCACGGGGTCAAAAGGGGAAAGAACTGTCCTCCAAATAGGACCTGAAGCCACAGCACTCTTGCTGCACAACGCTGGCACAACCCGCCAGGAACATCGCAGTTCAAAAACCGAACTGAATACACTATAACTATAAGGGGCGTTGTCACACACATTGTCCCACGTTAGCTGGGTAAGCCGTGGCTCACCATGATCAGACGCCTACCAAACTAAACTGGATTCACACACTCGCATAAAGGAAGACTGAAAAGAACAGGGAGACTGAAGGAAGAGAGGAAAGAAAATGCCATACCTAGAATCAGCGTTAGTAACCACGGCGGCGGCTGGAGCTACGGCGGAGAGCAAGCCAGGTGTTATCTTCATCTTGGTTGAGCCGGTCACTCAGAGCGGCTAGCTCGGCGTCAGACAAATGACCTCCCTCCTCGTCTTGAATCGTGGTCTTCACATTGTCTATAGCATCGCTTTGCGCGACGTAAAGAGTGATGGTCTAGCCAGGAAGAGTGATGATGAAAATCTGCATCCCACCACAGAGGCGAAGTACCAAGTGAAGAGTGGGCTCCTGCTTCCGACTGCGTGCCGGCGAAAATTAAACGCTGCTGGTCTTGGGGAATACCCTCCTTGTCTTGGGAAGCAGCCTGCCTGTTGTCGTCCTCATCAGCTTCGCCATCACCACCGGTAATATACATGTAGGTAGCGGGTGGCTTGGAATCGCCATCGGAGTCTCCACTGGATGACGTGCGGAGAGAAGGGTGATCCACGCTAGCACCCGTACTGTGCTGCAAACTAATAAGCAGGGCCAGGCCCAGGAAGGCAAGAAACAGGATTCTCATCTTGATTCGTCGCAGGGAGCTGCAGCGGGTTGAGCCATGGGGGTCTGGGGTCGAATCACGTTGTTTTATTTAAAACTACACCGCTGCCACCAATGTAATGGTAGCCGATCCCACCGCTGCCACCAATGTAATGGGTAGCCGAGTGGTAGGCGCGGTGCAATTAACAATAATTACTTTTATTCTACTTTCAGGTACACACCTGAGATATAATCGTTAATGAAAGAAGGAACGGCAAAATAACTGACTTTCTCTCCGGTGCTCACCTGGAGGTTGAATCCTTATTCTTCGAGTTAGCTTTCATTGCTATCCAATCTAATCTAATCTTCTCTTCATCAAAACAGAAATGCGCAGCCGCTTTTATGCAGCAGACGACGTACGCTTACATACGGAGATACACTAAATATACATCAGGCAAAGCTCCGTATTAGTTCCGTACTGCTTCCGTATTGGTCGGGCAGGGATACTACACATGTAAGAAGAAAAAGGGCAATGGAAAAAAAAAGATGATTCGAACAAGTTTTCGTACAACACTCTTCAGGAATCACCGTTGTACTAAAGAACAAAATGAGAACAAAGGAAATGAAAACACTTTTGTGAGAAATCGCACCTCGATATTCCAGTGCTGTCATTGTATCGTGTCACCCTACCTTGATTGCTATATTATTTCCTTTCTTCTCATTTTGTTCTTTAGTACAACGGTGATTCCTGAAGAGTGTTGTACGAAAACTTGTTCAAATCATCTTTTTTTTCCATTGCCCTTTTTCTTCTTACATGTATTTTTCCTTAGCCTTTAGGTTGTTTCTTGCATCGTCTCCATCGCTTACATTGTTAATAAACTAGTCCACATGTCGCTTCAGCTCGTCCTACTTATTGCCATATTAAAATAATAATAATAATACTCATAAAAAGGACACACTTCAGGCTCATTACAAACATCTTGAAAGTTTTTGTCTTCACAAGTATACTTTCAAGCCTTCTCGTCAGGTGAAATACAGGCAAGGGAAAAGGAACAGGAACAGTGGATTAAATACAGTAAGAAGGTGGTAAAACAGCGCAAAAAAAGAAAGAAGATAGCTAAAGTAAACAGCGTACGCAGTGCTAGATTGCTGAATGTTTTGGAAGCTGTATACATCCACACAAAGAAACCCAACCTTTGCAAGCAGAAACAAATCAAATTCACACTTAGGCTGTTAGGTAGGTCGTCAAAACCTCGTTAGTTACATGTATGTCCAGTGGTTGTCTCTTGTTGTGGCACTACATGTAACGCTTATTGAGTTTTCTCGCATTTGCACCTTTGTGTCATTATTGCAATTTTCGCTGTTTACTTTAGCTATCTTCTCTCTTTTTTTTGCGCTGTTTTACCACCTTCTTACTGTATTTAATCCACTGTTCCTGTTCCTTTTCCCTTGCCTGTATTTCACCTGACGAGAAGGCTTGAAAGTATACTTGTGAAGACAAAAACTTTCAAGATGTTTGTAATGTGCCTGAAGTGTGTCCTTTTTATGAGTATTATCGCATTTTTGTCTCAGAGGAAACTGAGTAATAATAATTATAATAATTTGGAAAGGATTGGGAGAACTTCATATTCAAAGGATCAGTCGGGGAAGTGAACTGCCTGAAAAGAGAAAAAACGCCAGACCCACCAGGACTCGAACCTGGGACCCTGCTTGTCATGAGCAATGCTCTAACCACTGAGCTATGGGACCAGGCTGAACCTAGAAGGCGCTGACAAGTTTTTCACTCCAAAGGCAGCTCACAACACGTGCCACACATACTGATGGCACTTGGGTCTTTTTCCCTCCCCCAGGGGACCAACCACGGTCAGTTTCTGGAAACTACCAGAGGTGAAAGAAAGTGATTAAATTTGGAAAGGATTGGGAGAACTTCATATTCAAAGGATCAGTCGGGGAAGTGAACTGCCTGAAAAGAGAAAAAAACGCCAGACCCACCAGGACTCGAACCTGGGACCCTGCTTGTCATGAGCAATGCTCTAACCACTGAGCTATGGGACCAGGCTGAACCTAGAAGGCGCTGACAAGTTTTCATCAGTATGTGTGGCACGTGTTGTGAGCTGCCTTTGGAGTGAAAAACTTGTCAGCGCGTTTTTTTCTCTTTTCAGGCAGTTCACTTCCCCGACTGATCCTTTGAATATGAAGTTCTCCAAATCCTTTCCAAATAATAATAATAATAATAATATGACTACACCATAGCTCAGTGGTTAGAGCATCGCTGGCTACAAGCGAGGGTCCCTGGTTCGATTCCTGGTGGTGGCAGTCAATTTTTTCTTCAGACTTTTCCCGTTTGTCTCTTTCCCTCAAACCAGTTAATAATAATAATAATAATAATAATAATAATAGCACATTTCGCGTAGTAGAGCACTAAAGAAATTCAGTGTTTTTTCCGCTTTTTGCTGATACTGATTTCTCCTCGGGTGTAGAGCTGCACAATTTCTTCCAGTCTGTCTTGTCTGCTGCTTGTTTTCGGCACCTGGAAAGGTCTTCCATGGTCTTCATTGGCACACCCAGCTTATTCAGCTGAGCGACCAGACTTGCGGCCAGTGTCAACCTTGGCCGTCCACGAGGTGCTTTGTTGCCCTTGTCAAAATAGCCGCTCATGGCTACTTGCGGTGGCGTGTCCGTGTCCATCCGTAGCACATGACCGGTCATTCGTAGTCGCCTACATGCAACTGTGTTTGATATAGGGCTGCTCTTGGTTCTGCGGTATAGGTCGTCGTTTGAGATTGTGTCTGGGTATCGTATTCCAAGTAGTGATCGCATTTGACGCCGGTGGAATGCGTCTGCCTTGGCCATTGCTGTTGACGATAATCCCCAGGTCTCGCAATTGTACAGGAATGTCGGCAATACGATAGCGTTGTACAGGCGTAAGCGTGTCTTCTCCGCTACTTTATCTCTACGCAGCCATAGGGCGTACAGCTGGCCAAACACGCGAGAGGCAAGTTCCATCCTGCGCCGAACATCCTCTTCTTCCCCCATCAAGGAGCCAAGCTGCCTATATGCCCGCCAGCTCTCGGATTCAGGTGACACACGGATCCACTCTGTTTTATCTGGATTTACTTTAAATGACCAATCGTGCAGTGTGTCTGCTATTACAGGCAGAGCATTCTCAAGCCACAGCCTGCAGGTTGAATAATAGGAGATGTCATTTGCATAGCCCGTCTCTGGTGATAGACTTGCGTCGCCAGCAGGGCGGGGCGTGAGACGAGTTCTGCATTCCTGTAGTGCAGCCTCCAGATAGCAGATCAAGAGAACTGGGCTGAGACTGTCGCCTTGTGGTGTTCCGATAGTGCTCTCAAACGGTTCAGCTGTGGCACTTGCAACCTTAACAGTGATAGTTGTGTTGTGGAGTAGGTGGGGGATGAGACATGTGCAATCTGGATTGGTGATTGCAGACATCACCTCCAGTAGCTTCAGGCAGTTAATCGTATCGAACGCCTTGGACATGTCCAGGCCTAGAATGCGAAATTGCTGTGGGTAACGAATGGCTCTTGCAGCGATCCACAGCTGGGTCCATACCACGTCCGCTGTACTGAATACATGACATGTAAATAAAAATGTAGTGTCCACACGCAGTGCAGTAGGGGTTTCGAGTTCGATGCACTTATCAATGATTACGGTAAAGTACCGTTGATCCGCCCCTTCTCTAATTCCCGCCCCCTGTCGATTTTCTTCCTGTGAAGCGACTTTAACGTATGCAACGAAATACGATGTTGAACCGAGGCATGCACTGCTGTACACAATGCGTGCCAATCCAGGATGAAAATGTGCACAATCCAGCACATCGAGTCTGATCCTCTTCGCTGTTGTACATCGTACTGCACTTGGCAGCCTTGATCTAATTTCCGCCCCCTGTTACTGCCGAAAATCCAGCTGGGAAGCGACATTGCGTGGGGGGGGGGGGGGGGAGCGGATCAATGGTACTTTGCGGTACTAGCATGTATAGTTATTGTATGCGCCCGCGCGGGGCGAGAGTTGGTCGTTCCGAGAGTGTAAGATGTGGCAATGAACGATCACCTCCTTCACGGAGGGCTACTGTCGTTCAGCGTCCTCACCGAAGTATAAAGGCGTTGGCTGGGACTACTAGTAATAGTACTCTCTTCCTCGCATTTGTAAAGTTTACACTTCTTTTCTGGATAGGCGAATCGAGCGGGAGATAATTTTGGTGCTTTTATTCGTTTGCACTTGCTAGTCCTTGAAAAGTATTATAATTATCTCCCTTTTTGTTGAGCGCACTAGTCTAAAGCACAACTAACTTTAATACGCGGAGCGCTAGTCGACATCGTCGACCGGTCCACATTGAAACTGCACTGAGTTTTTCGAGATTCGCGTACGCGAGTGCATTAACGTGATTGCTGCCACTGCTGGATCAGTGTCCTTGGTCAAGAATGGAGAGTTTTGGAATGTTCCTGTTGGTGCTGGTCGTGTTCGCTGTTTACGCCCAAGCTCAAGGTACGGTATGCGTTCAGGCACCGATGGATGATGAATTGACGATACGCATGCTTCATGTACAATGAATTATGTTTACCTAGGGTACTAGTACCCTGTAAGAAGGCCTGTGGGGATTTCCCTATTCAAAATTTAATAATAATAAAAATAATAGCGGTATGGTGCACCACTAGTCGGATATTAAAGTGGATACTAGTACATGTACCGTAATTTGCAGGATATGTGGCTTCCAATCAAACATGACTTTGCAGTATCATGGCTTTCCTCTTGTCCTTCACCCAAACCCACATTTGAATGGCCTGTTGAAAGGAAAAGTAGCTCTTTGAAGAGGTCTTTGCCAGTTTGACCCGGGGACGACCTTCTCTGCATGTATGTCAGCTATTGTCATCCTTGAGGTACCGTTCAACATTTTCTTTAGATATTTGAAACTCACACTTCCTCTGACTAGGACAGGCCTGGACACAAAATAATAATAATAATAATAATAATAATGTATGGCAATAAGTAGGACGAGCTGAAGCGACATGTGGACTACTTTATTAACAATGTAAGCGATGGAGACGATGCAAGAAACAACCTAAAGGTTAAGGAAAAATACATGTAAGAAGAAAAAGGGCAATGGAAAAAAAAAGATGATTCGAACAAGTTTTCGTACAACACTCTTCAGGAATCACCGTTGTACTAAAGAACAAAATGAGAACAAAGGAAATAATTTGTCCCACCGGAACCAGAGCTGGATTCAACAGAAAGACCAACAACCATGGCGGCAACAACAACACCAGCTTCACATCCAACAACAACACCAGGTTCACATCCAACAACAACAACTAATCCACAAAACAAAGCAGCAAATGACAGACCACGGAGATCTACAGCAGATTACAATCGGACCTATGAATTCACGGTAAAAATACAAAGGAAACAATCGGAAAGGACGACGACTGACGTGAAGGCAACGGCATTCAGGGTTGGCGTGGGTGGTGAAGGTGAGACGCAGGACGATGCAAGTGAGGAGGAGAGTCAAACCGCGGTGGATGACGGAGCAGGTTCTGATTCGGACAGTGAGGGAGAAGGTGAGCTGAGTGAGGGTGAGAGGGAGTGTGAGGGTGTGCGCGTGAGTCGAGATTGTGTGCGTCCGTCTCGTAATAACAAGTCTTCAGTATACAATCATTTGGTTTCTAGTACTGACTGTTGTCGTACTTATTCTGATTCCTGTTTTTCTGTTTTGTGCCGTGCTCGTCATGGTTATCTTTTGCAGTTACAAGTTTTGGAAGCTGTTTGTCAGCGCATTCATAAGCCGAATTTGTGTGTCCAGAAAGATAGTGTTATTACCCTAAAATTGTTCAAATAATGTTCTGTTGTGTAGTGTGGCAACGTTGTTGCCGCTTGTGCCTAAATGTGTTTTGTCACCTTCTTGTTTATTATTGTTATTATTATCATTCGTTCTCACTTTTTTGTTTTTTTGTTGCTGATACACACTTGTCACGCTTAGTTCTTACTTGTATACCCTTGTTTTCTGCACACTTTTGTGAGAAATCGCACCTCGATATTCTAGTGCTGTCATTGTATCGTGTCACCCTACCTTGATTGCTATATTATTTCCTTTGTTCTCATTTTGTTCTTTAGTACAACGGTGATTCCTGAAGAGTGTTGTACGAAAACTTGTTCGAATCATCTTTTTTTTTCCATTGCCCTTTTTCTTCTTACATGTATTTTTCCTTACCCTTTAGGTTGTTTCTTGCATCGTCTCCATCGCTTACATTGTTAATAAAGTAGTCCACATGTCGCTTCAGCTCGTCCTACTTATTGCCATATTAAAATTATTCTCTCCTCGTCGAATTTTTAAATAATAATGTAGAAGAGAAAAGGACATATGGATACGAGTTAAGAGTAACTCTCCATCACTGTAACATGATACTTTATACAGTCAGAAAGTGCAATAACTAGGCACAAAACTGACAGAGTACTGAAACATTCGACGTCCTGACACCTAGCTTCAACACATCTCCGTAGCGCTAACCGACAGCCTTCCAACTTGGAAGGTTCAAGGTTATGGAAAGACCAAAGAGGGGAAGGCAAGCGCAACGAAAACGAGCAAAAGCTACAGTCCCAACGGAACAAAGAATGTCGATTGTTACTGGACGATGACGAGACCAGTACGATATTTGACAAAGCGGTCTAACTACAATTCGAAGCAGCAAAGCAGCACACCACCCAACTTGGGTGGGTCATAAATATCAAAGATAAGTAAAGAAAGGGAAGCTTTGCGAAAACGAATTGTACAAGCCGAAAGCCAAACTCCTACAGTACTCCTCATGCATGACATTGTGATGGACTAGTTGACTACAAAACAAGTTGTTTCACACAACGTACGTTTCGCCGTATGGTTCGTGACGGCTCATCAGGTGTGCAATATGAAACTCGGATGTTGAGCCATAAATAAATGTAGAAGAGAAAAGGACATATGGATACGAGTTAAGAGTAACTCTCCATCACTGTAACATGATACTTTATACAGTCAGAAAGTGCAATAACTAGGCACAAAACTGACAAAGTACTGAAACATTCGACGTCCTGACACCTAGCTTCAACACATCTCCGTAGCGCGTCTGACTGTATAAAGTATCATGTTACAGTGATGGAGAGTTACTCTTAACTCGTATCCATATGTCCTTTTCTCTTCAACATTTATTTATGGCTCAACATCCGAGTTTAATAATAATAATAATAATATTATCTACTGGTTGTGGTGCATTAATGTAATAGTGCATGCACAATCATGAATCAGTAGCCTTCACTGTGTGTACGTTTGCGGAAAATGAGAAAAGTGCGTAGGTGCGTGTATATCTGTGTTTTGTCGGCTCCTGTTATCTTTGTATTACAATGTACACTGTACTTTGGGATTTCTATAAGCTGGACATGTCACTTCAACTTCAAGACAATACAATGCAAACTACAAGTAAGCAAGCAACGCATACAAGGAAACAATCAGACAATTAAAACACATTTAATATCGTCTAGGCCACTGAACTGGACAGGCAGCGGTGCAAGAAGCCGTGGTCTCGCCTACGGCCATACGAACCCCTGCACCCGCGGAAGCATGTTATGGCCCAACGGAGCAGGGTAAACGACAGATCGTGAGAATCTCCTCCTTTACTGGCACGCTTCGGGCGCTTCCTGCGTACATTGTATAGCAACACTTATATTTATTAATGATCAATTTACACAGCTGAGGACAGGCAGGTATAGTGGGATGGTCTAAGGGCATGATTGAGAAACATAAGGTACCAGGTTCAAGTCCTGCTTGGAAGCCGATAGAATTTTTGCAGCCGTGCTGCGACCCACAGTTAATTGGGAACTCGTGGCCTGGCACGAGGGTAACATGGATGCAACATAAGATTTCGGTCTTTAACCACTTGGTGGCGGGTCTGATCTACTGACTTCCCACCGTTTAGGCGCTGCATCTGCGCCTTTGATCCTAGAGGGTGGTGGCGTTTCCACGGCGGATGCGGAAAACTCGGCTTCCAGCCGACTCTCACGCGAACCGTGACATTTTATTTTATTATTTTATTACCCAGTTGACTGCGCCTGCGGCCAGTCCAGTGAACATGAAAGGTGTGATGGCGTGACATGGTCCGATTGAATTAGTCGGCCTGGCAGGGAGTACGCACAAGTAGAACTGTAGTTATCAGTCGTTATAATGCTCTTCCCGCCCCAGCCAGAGTTCACAACTCTCATCCATGCCAACTTTCCAGATCCAATTCACATAATGTCTTCTCACAAACACCTTGGCATTGTGGTTGACTCTGCACTCTCTTGGGTACCCCACATCGAATATATCTGTAAAAAATCAAGTAAATCCTTAGGAATTCTCCCCCCCCCCCCCACTGCTCCTACCTCCCACTTTCTTGCAAGCTTCATTTTTATTTAGCCTACCTTCGCCCAATATTTGATTATGCCGATACGTCTTGGGTTGGATTATCCTCTTCCGCTGCTGCAAAGCTTGAAATACACCACAACAAAATCCTTAAAATTCTCCTCCGTCAACCCCGCATGCTCTCATCATCCGCCCTTTATAAAATCGCTCACACAACTCCGTTATCACATGGACGCAGTGCACACCTGGCTTCTCTTGTCAATTATATTAAGCTTGAGTTGCGCCCACCTCATCTCATGTGGGTTTAATTGGTTCTCTTCTCTAAGAACTAGAAACTCGTTCTTACTCCCTAAATGTAACTCATCCACTCTTTTGCGCTCCCGTCTCTTTATTGCTTATGCTGTTTGGCTCACTCCACCAGAGAAGTTAAGGATCTGACCTCACTCCGCCTTTTTAAGATCCGTGCCGCCCCTTTTGTACTATGACATAAATAGCTCATTATCCACATGTCCTTTGGGTCTCTGTGTTTTTCACTGTTTTTATTTCACATTATCTTTCTTTACGGAGTTGTTGTTGCTGTTCACTTTGCCACTCTTTCTTATTCCCTTCCCTTACTTCTATTTATCGCCGTGGTTGGCAATCACCTACTCTCTTAACATTGGCCGGTGTTCCCACCGAGTCTTGAGATGTAATATACCGTACTGGCAATATATGTTGCCGCAGTGAGGCCATGAAGCGTTACATTGGCACATGTTTGCCGCACGCAGGGCGTTACATGCAAAGTCGCACAGGAGCCGTTACACAGGTTTCTATTGCCGCAGTCCTTTTTTTGCTATTGCAGGACTTCCTGCTGCGTCCAGTTTTGAACTTTTCACCACGCGGTACACGTGCTTTCACAGTTTCAGCCTTTTTGGCAATGAAAAGATCGCCGCACCCCGCCGGACGCGCGTTACGAACGCAACGAAAATTTGTCGCACTAGCCTGGTCGCGCGTTACGCCGCACCCCCCTGCGTTACGCGTTACGCGGCAACATATATTGCCAGTACGGTATATAAATATGCCGTGGGGTAGTGCCTTTGCTGTTTGCGTTATGCAGAGCTCACTGACTTGTCAGTTTGAGCACTCT